GTACTGCCGTTCCCAGCGGCAAAGATTACATTTTTACATAGACTGATAGGCTGAAGTGGTGCAGCCAAACCATGGATTGCAATTAAGCAGCCATCTGAACCACCAGAATAATTCACGCAGCCTCAGTTTAGTTTCCTTTGTATGGTTCATGCTCCAGGTTTACCAGCTGATTGCATAACACAGAATGAACAATACCACAATGTTTACCTCTCATCCCGAGGTACACCATCAACAAAGTTCATCACAGATGCGAAAGAAAGGCACCAGAACATGATCCAGCTCACAGTCGTTTTTCGACCAGCCCTGCCCGTTTGTAAACGCAGCATGGCTAACTCTGGACAGGATTCCAAAGCAGAAATAAAATCCTCCATCTGATTCTGTTGGCAATGGCAGCCTGGATAAACAATCTGCACCACAGTTAAGGCTTCCAGGTCGGTATACTACATCAGACTTGTAGCAAAGCAAACTCATTGACCACCGGGTGACACACATACCAGCCCAGCTAATGCCCTCAGTTGTCGTAGTGTAGTGAGTGCACAATGATCAGATTTGAGAGTAAAGTGTTGGCCCCACAAATACAGCTGCCAATTTTCTATGGCCTAGACACAAGTCAATGCTTCCTTCTCAACCATAGACTATTTCCTTTCGGCCACTGTAAGGGTTCTAGAAGCAAACGCTTCAGTTCTCTCAATATTGATTGGGTGTAGGTGTGTCAAAACACCTCCCAGTCCATAGCCGGATGCATCAGTCAATACTATTATGGGAAGAGAAGGGTCGAACCATGCAAGCACTGGGCATCTAGATTTTTTTACATGCTACAGAACTTCTTCCAGCTTCTATTTAGAGAATACTAAGCACCATCTCTACATTTAACAATATGCTGCCACTTTGTGGTTTAACTACAAAACACCACAATTGTGTCATGTTCAGTGTAAATAAACAAATCACTTGTCTCTGGAAAATGAGTTTGCAATAAAAACGTACAGGCTTGCCAAACTCTGAATATTGATTTGGTGCTCTTTGTATCCCCAATATCTTTATTCTTGATTATTTATAAGGTCTGTCAAGGGAAATGAGCTCTAGTCAACAGCCCAATGTGAATGTAACGGGGCTGACGAGACGTGAGACATATGGATCCATCTGCAAGCTTTTATTAAAGAGACATGGTAAACAGGCAGGGTCAAACAATGGCAAACAGGTATATGGCGGGCAAAACACAAGAATAGTCCTAGGGCTAGCGTAGGTCACCGATCGGCAGACAGAATCACAGGGGCGTGACGAGAGGGAAAAATCCAGGAAAACAGGCAAAGATCAGATACCGCAGAAACAGGCAAGGCAAAACACGGAGACTCGGAAAGGGGTAC